GTACTCACCTCCTCCAACAGCCACATCAAAATTATAACAAAACTACAGGACCACCACCATTCCAAACTGTCTGAAATTGAGCTGAATGGAAGTCCCACAACTAGGGAATTCAAGAAGAGCCACAACAAGACTGGCAGGAGTGGTGGAGACCCAGACTGAGCACACGTGGCAGATAAAAATTGGCAGTGATATCTTGGTTGTAGAGGTGCCCCCTGAGCAATGAGCACAGTTGAGGGACTCCCACACCAGTCCTCCCAGCCCAGGGTTCCAGTGCCAGGAAAAGAAGTGCCCATAACACCTGGCTATAAAAACCAGCAGGGATTGGGGCTGAGGGAGACAGGCTTCTGGAGTTCTAGGCAGTCCCTCTTAAAGGGCCTGTGCATGGACTCACTCAAACTCACTCCATCTGAGTTCCAGCACTGGGATAGCAGCTTGAAAGGCTCCAGAGACATATGGGAAGAATCTAAATTGTTCAGCATCTGGGCAAAAGCTGGGGTGGGCAGCTTTCTCTGAGACAGAAGTGCTAGCAGAGGTGATTGTTCCTTTGATGAGTTTCCCTCACACAGAGCCAGAAGGTGGGTGTCATACCTGAGACCCTATCAACCTGACTCACACTATTTGCCCTGCCCTGGTAATTCCCTGAGACCCAGCCCCACACAACTTGTGGGCCCAACCAAGCTGTTTCCAGGGGCTTTTCTACAGGAATGGCCTGTCTTGGTCCATACTTTAGATTTTCCTAAAATCTCTCAAGCCAGCAGAATCTGGCATCAAAGTCCCATACCTCCAAGTGGCCCCAGACCTGGCACTAGCAGCAGCTGGCCTTGGTTCACAGCTTGGCCTCTCCTGGGCGCCTCCAAGCCCAGCACAATTAGCAGCCATCTGCAGATTCCCTTGTACCCACTGCCGGGTGGCTCTGGGGAAAAACACAGGTGGTGGCTGACCTTGGCCTGTACCTCCCCGGAAGCCCCAGAGTCAATGCACCCCATGGACAGCTTCAGATAATTCCAGTGCACCAGCCAACCACCTCTACAAGTGACACACCAAGGCCAGACTTGGTGGGCACCATAACCCTGCTGAAGGAAGCCTTGCTCTGTGGGATGGGCCCCTGCGTAGCTGATCCTCCACGGTGGCCAGAGGTCAGTGTGGCTGAAGGTCAGTGTTGGTGGTTACAGCTAGCCCTTGCAGCTGATCAGTCTAGGGGTAAATCACTCCCATGGACATGCCAACAGCAATCAAAGCTCAGCTACAAGAGGAGGGTGTCATAGCCCACATGGGGGAGCACCTTGAGTGCCCAGCTTGGGTGATCAGGAAGGCTGTGCCCTACAGGACACCTACTACATTAGGCCACCCTACCAAACCTGGGAGACATGGCAGCTCTACCTATACATAGAAGCAAACACTGGGAGGCTGTCAAAATGAGGAGACAAAGAAACATGTACCAAATGAAAGAACAGAACAAAATTCCAGAAAAAGAACGGAACAAAATGGAGACAAGCACTCTACTAGATGCAGAGTTAAAAACACTGGTTATAAGGATGTTCCATAAACTTAGTGATAACATCAATAGTATAAAAATATAACCAGTCATTAATGAAGGAAACACTGACTAAAATGAAGAATATTTTACAGGGAATTAACAGCAGAGTAGATGAAGTTGAGAATCAAATCAATGATTTTTGAATATAAGGAAGCAAAAAACATTCAATCAGAACAGCGAAAAGAAAAAGTAATACAAAACATGAAGATAATATAAAGAGGCTCTAGGACAATTTCAAGCATACTGACTCTGGCGTCATGAGGGTGCCAGAAGAAGAAGAGAAAGAGCAAGAAATTGGAAACCTATTTGAAATAATAATGACAGAAAACTTCCCTAACTTGGTGAAGGAAAGAGATACACGAGTCCAGGAAGCACAGAGAGTCCCAAACAAGATGGATGCAAAGAGAAATCATGAAAATACCAAAAGTCAAGGACAAAGGGAGAATCTTAAAAGCAGCAAGAGAAAAGCAGCTCGTTCCCTACAAGGGAGTTACAATAAGACTGTCAGATAATTTCTCAACAAAAGCTTTGCAGGCCAGGAGGGATTGGCAAAAAAATATGCAAAGTGATGAAAAGCAAGGACCTACAACCAAGATTACTCTACCCAGCAAAGCTATCATTTAGAATCAAAGGGCATTTGAAGAGATTCCCAGACAAGAAAAAGCTAAAGGAGTTCGTTATCACCAAACCATTATTATATGAAATATTAAAGGGTCTTCTTTAAGAGGAAGAAATGAAAACTATTAACAATAAAATGGCAAAAGTACATATCTAACAACAATTGAATCTAAAAAACAAAATAAATAAACAAGCAGAACAGAAACAGACTCATAGATACAGAGAACATTTTGATGGTTGCCAGATTGACGGGAGGTCGGGGAAATAGGTGAAAAAGGTGAAGAGGTTAAGAAGTACAAATGGGTTGTTACAGAATAGTCAGTCATAGGGATGTAGTAGTCATGGGAATATAGTCGATAATATTTTAATAACTCTCTATGGTGTCAGATGGGTGTGAGATTTATGGGGATGATCACTTACTAAGTTATGAAGTGTCTAATTACTGCGCAGTACACCTGAAACTTATATCATAATGTATGTCAACTGTAACTGAAAAATAAAAAAAGATTTTAAAATGCAAAAAAAATTATGTGAGCTGACTTATGGAGTATCACAGAGATAGATGCTTGTAACATCTCTCCATACATCCCCTTAGCATTCTCTATTTTCTCTGGTTTTGAAGACCAGATACAAGGTTACCTGAATTTTGTGTGTGTGTGCTCCAAAGAAATAGCAACTGTCTTTTACTTCAGCTTTGTAAAAGCAGTGTAAGAGGATTTTAAATCTGGTTTGCAGGAAATAAAATAGAAAAGCCATTAAAGTTCTTCAATTTCTTTAACCGAGACTTCACAGCACAGGTTCCAGCCTTGGCTACATACAAAAATCACCTGGGAGCTTTCGGAAACAGAGGCCTGGGTCCCACTCCAGAGACTCTGATTTAATTGATCTGGAGGTGACCTGGGCTGAGGGAGTTTGGAAAAGTTCCCCAGGTAAGATTTTAATCACTGCTATGGACAGTGGTAGCTTAATACCCCCAAGTTTCCATAAGGGAGAGCAAAGCATTAAGGAGGTAATTATGTTCAGCTGCTTCAGCTTCTGGACCTCACTCTTCCTTCTTGACTACTGTATATACCCTCCCATAAAAGAAATGTTGTATGTAAGGGCTTTGGAATTAGAATGATCGTAATTCAAATGTCAGCTCCGCCACTTACTACCTAAGTGGCCTTAGGCAAATTACTTAATCTGAGCCTTGGTCTCCTCGTTTGTAAATCAGAGATAATAATACTTATAACCTATAAACTATAGGAGATACAGCATATTCATCCTCTAGCACATGGAAGATATACAGTAAGTGGAAGTGATTATCATCATCATTATTATTACTCTTAAGCAATTAGCTCAGACTGGAGGTAAAACAGATGTTCCCTGTATGTATGAATATGTAATATTCACTTGCTTCAAATAAATGACTATGTATTTAAATTTTTTAAAATTTTTCAATTTCAGCTGACATTCAATATTTATTTCAGGTGTACAGCACAGTGGTTATACATTTATATACCTTACAAAGTGATCCCCCAATAAGTCTGTTAGCCATTTGACACAATACATAGTTATTACAATGTTGACTGTATTCCCTATGCTGTACTTTACGTCCTTAGGACTATTTTGTAAATGTCAACTTTTACTTTTTAATTTCTTTATCTTTTTCACCCAGTCCCCCAACCCTCCTCAAATATGGCAACTATCGGTCTGTTCCCTGTGTCTATTAAATCTGTGTCTATTTTGTTTGTTCATTTATTTTGTTCTTTAGATCCCACATAGAAATGAAATCATATAGTGTCTTTCTCTGTCTGATTTATTTCACTCAGCATAATGCCCTCTCAGGGTCACATGTGGCTCAGGATGACTGCAGATGTGGCCCAACACAAAATAGTAAATTTACTTAAAACATTAGGAGATTTCTTTCTGTGATTACGTGTCATAATGTATTTAACGTGTGGCCTAAGACAACTTTTCTTCTTCCAGTGTGGCCCAGAGAGGCCAAAAGGTTGGCGTCCATCCATGTAGTCATAAATGGTAAGATTTCATTCTTTTTTATGGCTGAGTAATATTCCACTGTATATTTGCACCACATCTTCTTTATCCAATTGTCTATTGATGGACACCTAGGTTGCTTCCATTCTCTTGGCTATTGCAAATAATGCTGCTTTGGACAGAGGTATGCTTATATTCTCAAATTAGTGTTTTGCGTTTCTTTGGATAAATACCCAGAAGTGGGATTGCTGGGTCCTACCTTAGTTCTATTTTTCATGTTTTTGAGATGTGTTAGGACTGACATTGGTTAAACAATAGGGGGCAAAGACTCCAGCAAGCATCTTCCAGAACTCACAGCATCGCTCTGGCCACACGCTTCTCCCTACCCACTGAAAGTAAAATGAATCCGGGAACTTCTAAATCTTGTAAAGCAACACATGGTCAGTGTCGACCTGAATGAACAGCTCCCCACCGCTGTCATTTTGGGAAGGATCAAGATTTGGCACTTAGAGGGCTCCACCCACCCTCTCTGCTGCATGTTTGTGTGTCTCTAGAGATATTAGCTGCACTTTGCCTATAAAGTACAAGGCAAGTCTGAGTGCTGAGACCTAGCTAGAAAAAGCAGCAGCAAAGACAAAATAAGCTGGAATCATTAGAAAAGCTAAGGGAAGATTTTTTTAAATGCTTTCAATTCAAGTCAAAATTAAAGCACTGTTTACTTTGCTTTGCAGAGCTGTGGATGTTTTGCTGTTCTTTGGGAGGGAAAAAAAGAGATGACTCTATAATAAGCACATTTCTTTGAGGAAATACCATGTTCAAGTTTTGAAGCCATTGTTAAGTTTCTTTAAATTCTGGACACTGTTCAAGGGTAGACTGTATGTTGGTTAGGACGTGTTCACAGCTGATGCATCTCCAAAAAAATTCCTCATGTAGGCTGCAGGCTCTGAATGTCCTTGGTGGTGAGACTGCATTACACTGAGAGACCTGGATGCCTCCCATAGACCTATGCTCTTTCAGGGATGTTATATTTAACCAACAGCTTTATCTGGAGATAAACAAAACAAGCAAATAAACAAAAATGAGTTTTTATGGAGAAACCTTTTTTCTAAAGCCATTGTCTCCTTTGGCGTCGCCAATGTGGAATGGAATACTCATTGTGTTTCTATTCTGGGGCTCCATTGGACATATACAGAATCCCTGAGAACTGTCAATGATCTCGTAAATCATTTGCGATTTGATGGAGCTAAGCTTCTCCATGGCTGCCGCACTGCCATTGTTTATAATCCACTCCAGGACCAAGACCGTGTTGTACATGCTGACGCAGGGAGGTGCATTGTGTAAAGAGTTGTTTCCAGTCTGCACTTTGTGCTCCCGGCCTGGGAGGCCCTCTCTGAGGGCGAACCCCAGCAGGTCATTGTGGATGATCACCACCATGATCCCTGTGGAGCCAATGTTCTTCTGTGCCCCAGCAAAAATCACACCCAACTTGGAAATGTCCACTGGCTTGGAATAGGAGGTTCAAAGACATGGCACAAACCAGCACCTCTCCCTTGATACCAGAGATAAAGTCAAACCCCACACCACACACTGTCTTGTGGTCACAGTAATACACATAGGAGGCACAGGGCTGAGGGTCCAGGGCTTGGGTCTAGAATTTTTATGTAACTCCCAAGTGCAGGGTAGATGGTATTCATAGTCCTAAATTTCTTGGCTTATTCTGGGGCTTTAGTTGACCAAGCTTCTGTTACCACAAAGCATACCTTCCTGCTTTTGGGCCAGTTAGGTTTAAGGTGACAGCACTGAACTGGCCAGACCCACCTCCTGGCACAAAAATCTCCTTGCAGTTGTCGGGGACAGCTAGCAGTTTCTGAACAAAATCCTCTGTGTTAAGAATCTTAGCAAAATCTGATGATCTATGGCTCATTTCAGCAACACTAATCCCGACACGTTTGTAGTCTAATAATTCTTTTTGTATCTCTAACAATACTGAGCATGGCAGCTTTGCAGTCTGCCCTCCCCACCCTCTGCGGGCAAGTCAGCGGGCCCAACGGTGAAGCTGACTGCCTGCCCCTGGGCGTCCACGGTGCTGCGGCGCACCCCACCCCCCGCCCCCACCTCCTGCAAGTTGGGGGAGATATTTTTAATTTTCTGAGGACCCTCCATACTGTTTTCCACAGTCGCTGCACCAGCCTGCATTCCCACGAACAGTGTGCCAGGGGTCCCTTTTCTCTGCATCCTTCCCAGCACTTATTTGTTGATTTATTGATGATGCCATTCTTACAGGTGTAAGGTGGTATTTCATTGTGGTTTTAATTTGCATTTCTCCGATGACTGTGTATTTAAAATAAGAGAGGCTCCAAATAAAATCCATGCAGGCTAACAGAATTTTAGGATTACAGGAATCTAAAGTGGGTCCTCTAGTTTAGCTTTTTGACAGACTTAATTGGGTAGGTAACACTGGTATTTAAAAAAAAAGAATAAATAAGAAATATTAGAAGGCATTCACATGGAATAAGGGTGAATGTTTTATGAACATTTGTTTCCATTATGCAGTGAGTGTGCTGGGCTGCAAAAGACAATGTATATCTTCTTATGAATTTTAGGGTAGACGTTTAGGAAATGTGGCTCTAATCCAATTCTCCCATTTTACGTAACTAGGAAGAAAGCTCAGAGAGGTTGCTTTACTAAGTCAAGATCAGCTAGCAAGTGTTAGTAGAGCTGGAGCTAGAATCCAGATCTTCTGTGAGGCCTGAAGATGACTCTCTCTATAGGATACTCAGAAAAACACAGCTAGCTTTCTACACGGAGGTTTCTCCTATGCCAATAAGATTGGGAAAGGTATTGTGAAGAGATTAAGGGCTCAGGTCTGGAATGAGACCACTTGGGTTCTTGTCCTTGCTCCCCAGTGCACTAAGCTGTAGGGCTTTCCACAAATTACCTAACGTGTCTATAATTCCATGATCGCATCTGCAAAATAGTTGCTATCATGGCACCCACTTCCCAGGGCTGCTATGAGGAGTAAATGAGAAAACAGGTCTGCACTGGTATGGTGTTAGGTGCATTGTGGGCATTCAGCAAATGGTAGGTGATCTCCAAGGCATCTGCCAATTAAAAAGTCTCTGACTGACAAGATGCATAGGCCAGCTCTTTCCTATCACTGATATGCAAACACAAAGAGAGTGACTTCCTAACTGAGATATGCAGATGGGCAGAGGCATGTTTTCACTTGCGAGAACCAAAAAGAAATACAGGGAAAGAAAGCAAAGTGTGCTCAAAGCTCTCAGTGAACTTGTTAATTCTTCCATATTGAAGGATGGGAAAACCAAAAAAAGTTTTTTGCTGCAGGAGACAGCCAGATCTTGTGAAAAATTCATGTTTCCCACCTTCTCACTTTCCCTTCTAGCCATCACAGAGACAAGATCTTATGGAGTTGGCCAAAGGACCCTGAATCACGGTTGTTACAGGCTGAATTGTGTTCTTTCCAAATTTCTGTGATGAAGCCCTAATTCCTGGTACCTCAGAATGTGATTGTATTTGCAGGTAGGGTCTTTAAAGAGGTGATTAAGTTAAAATGAGATCATTAGGGTAGACCCTTAACCAACATGACTGTCCTTACATGAAGAGGAGATTAGGACACTGTCACACACAGAGGGAAGACACCAGGAGAAGACAGCCACGGAGAGGGGCTTCACGCAACACCTGCTGGCTCCTTGATATCAAACTTTAGTCTCCAGAATTGGGAGAAAACAAGTTTCCATTGTTTAAGAGCCCCCCTCCCCCCCCCAGCCCGCAACATCCCCTTCCCCACTTCAGTCTGTGATGCTTTGCTCTGGCAGCCTGAGCAAACTAACATAAGGGTGAAACGCCAGTATAGGAAAAGCAAACAGATGCCCCAAACCCGCAACAACAATAAAAGAAACGAAACCCTCTAAATATTCCTCCCCCAAACACAACTGTTCCATACTTGTTTGCTAAGGGCACACAAAAGCCAGGTTTAATTCCTCTCCCCAGAATCTTGCTCTTTAGAAGGCAAACATTTCCCTCTTCATGGGGTTCTTTTTAGTCCAAATTCAACACTCAGTCAAAGGTATGTTATCAGTTTTCCCAAAAGGCAGCTGATTTTTAATTATAGTAAAATTAATGAAAAGTATCTTAATTTCCTGCAACAATTTGTCGAGACATACTATTCTTGATGCAATGACATTTTTAAAAAAATCCTCACCTGAGGATATGTTTACTGATTTTAGAGAGAGAGGAAGGGGAAGGGAGAGAGAGAGAAACACGATCAGTTGCCTCCTGTATGTATCCCTGACCGGGGATTGAACCCACAACCTAGATATGTACCCTGACCAGGGATCGAACCTGCAACCTTTTGATGTAGGGGACGATGCTCCAACCAAATGAACCACCTGGCCAGGGCACAATGACATTTTTGAGAAAGGCCAGAATATCTGAATTGTTGGTGAAACCTGGCCTATTGCCCCAATGGGAAAAAGAACCAGAAACTGTGTATTAACAATGTTAGATAGATTTATTAAGGCCACATTTGTTTATCTTTAACTTCTCAAGAACAAACTCCAAAGTCTGAAGAGACAGAGTATTCTGGAAGATGTTTTATACTGGTTATCTGATGAAAGCATTATAAAGATTGAGAAAGTTTCCTTCTGCCTTAGTTTGGCAATTTCGTGAAGAATTGTCTTCATTTAAAAAAAAAAAAGCAATGCTGAGAGAACTAAGTTTAATAGCTATTTGCACAATCTTAATAAATAATACAGCTTTTATTTTGTGCCAATAGACTTCTCTGGTACTTTAAAATAGGCTTACATTCTCCAGCTCATCCTTGAACTTTCACAGCTGGAATCAGAAACAGAAAACATCAGAGTTATGGTGTGATTTCCATCACGGCTGATCGTGTGGGATGTCACATGAAAAGCAAATGCGGAGGTTATTAGAGGTACTTCCATTTGGTTAAGCATTAAGCATATATTAGGCGTCCTCAGTAAACATTGGTGGAACTGTACCAATGTCAATTAACACAGCAAAAGGGCTTTTCACTGGTAGAAGAGATGCATTTAAGAGGCGCCCTGGGTTTTTCCAATGGAACGCGGTGGCGGTGGCCCGGGAGGCTCACCTAAAAGCCAGCAGGCTTCGGAATGACTTCAAATCTGTTAATTTTACATAAGTCTCACTCAGAGTTTTTAAAAAATTTATCAGTCATATTTCTTTTATTCTGGAAGGTGCTCCCCTGAAAAAAAATCATTTTTCAAGGTTCATGTGAAGATTCGCTGAAAAATCTCCTCTGCCTTCCTCAGGTTTCCATGGCTTTAACAGAAGGTGAAAAATGGCCAAAATGAAGGAGATCCAATGCCCAAACTGCAAGTTTCAGCAAATGGTTCCAAGGGCTATTTTAGCTTGATGGGACTGGGCTTTGGAGAGTATTTCAGGACTTTATGACTTTAGTTTCTGCTCTAAAGTTGAAAAATTGAGACCCATTATCAGCTTCATCTCAGTTTAGCTCCAGAAATAATTGTTTTGCAGAAAGTAAAATTAAAGAGCTTTATCAGCAAGCTTTGTAGAAACGTTACCCAAAAAGGAAAACCAAATCCCCACTCATGCTGTTTTGCAAGGGATGGAACAAACCCTGGGAATTTGACCTCAAAGATTTGTCATTAAATTAAATGAAATAAGTCTGTTATTTCTGGAATCCAGGGTTCTACTGCAGTTCTATGTCAGGTAGAAAGTAGATCAATCTATTGTTACTTGTTTTTAAATAATTTTTTTCTGATTTTAAAATTAATGTCATGTGCTCTTTAGGAAACACTTAAAAATACAGATGGGAAAACATAAGTAAACAATAAACCTTCTTAATTCCACAACATCAAGAACCACTGCTAAATGATTTTTTTCCTTGTAGATATAATTATTAGAGATATCTTTAAAAATAACATAATTGATTTTAAAATAATGGTTAAGTCCATAAAGAATAGTCCTCAGAGTATAAGTCAAGCAGTTCAATGAAAACAAACAAGCAGAAAAACAAAAGCCCATCAATCTACCCTTGGCAAGTCTTATGAGAACGCTGTCATTTTAGAAGGAATGTTTTAAACATAAATGCTACAAAGGCATTACTAGTGCCACTCAGGCAACCGTAATGGCACGAAAGTAAAAATTGGACTTTTTCATTATTGGATCCCACCTACAGTTAAAATTCTAAGAAACCTAATATTGAGCAGTACTTCTTAGCCAACCATACTACCAAATATTGATCATTATTACTTTGGCTTATGTATTTTTTGTGCAAAGTTTTAGCAGTTGATTCTATCTGGGTAATGTGTGTGAGTTTTAGCATACAAAACACATGGAAATATATACCTCAAAGTGTTAATATAAACATTTAATTTAATTTTATTGGCTTATCCATGTATTCTAAATTTTCTAATACATAATGCATTCCTTTTGTAATTAAGTTTTGTAATCTTCAATGTAGAAAATATTTCCCATGGCTTTTGTTTACTCTTAGGGAAGTAGCTTTAGGAAAACATGTTCAGAAATTA